TTTTTCTTTTCCAGTCAACACATTTCTTACCAATAGATAAAACTCTTTTTTAGGTGCTTGACTGCTTAGACAAACTGATTTAAGCACTGATTTAATATTTTCCACTTCCCATTTTTCTAATTGACTTAGTTCTTTTTGCAATTCCTTTAATCATAAAATCTCATTTTCCTTAATTTCAATTTTCAGGCTGGGTCTTTGAAAAAAATAATCAGTCAAATTAACTAATTCTTGAAAATAATTCAATTGAGGGCGAAATAAAAGGGCGATTTGTTTCATTCATTCTTTTTTCTCTTTTTCTGAATTTAATCAACAAATATATTTATTTCCCAAAAACTGCCAAGAATACTCAGCGAATTCTCTTTCCTCTAATTTCTGAATATAGTAATTATTATACCAGTTAAGTTTTTCTAAATCGTATACTGCTCCGCGGGCGTGTAACCCTTCTAAGTTAAATTCTCTAATTGCTTCTGATAAATTAAATATTTCTTGGGTGGTTCCGGGATGTCAACCTAAAAGTAATAAGTAATTAACTATTGCCTGTGGTAAGTATCCTTTTTCCCGTAATTGATTAATTAATTGTCATTGACTAGTTTCTTTATCCCGTTTGGAAAGTTTTTTTTTCTCCTTATTAAGAATTATTGAAACATGTCCGAAAAGAGGAGGTTTCCATCCCAAGGCCTCGTATAAAACTAATTGCTTACCGGTATTAGATAAATGTTCCTCGCCCCGTAAAACATGACTAATTTTCATTAAATAATCGTCAATGACGCAAGCAAAATTGTAATTAGGAATGCCATTTTGTCGAAAGAGCACAAAATCCTCAATATCTTGACCCTGGAATTTTACTTCCCCCCGCACTAAATCGTGAAAAAAATAATTCCTTGCTTGGGGAATTTTTAAGCGGACAACATAAGGAGTTTTTTGTTGGAGTAGAAAATTAACTTCTTTTTCACTCAAATTTAAACATTTTCGCGAATATTGATAATTACTTCTTTTATTTTCCTGGATAAATTGTTCTTTTTCTTGGGCTAACTCCTCTGGAGAACAAAAACAAAAATAAACTTTTTTTTCTACTAATAACTTTTCGATATGCTTTTTATAAGTTTCTAGCCGTTGCGTCTGCCGATAAGGTCCATACTCGCCAGGTTGGAAAACTGATTCACCCGGTTTTATTCCTAATCACAATAAGTCAGTATATAAATTATTAACAAATTCTTCTTTATTTCTTTGGAGATCAGTGTCTTCAATTCGCAGAATAAACTGCCCGTTATTTTTTTTGGCAAAAAGATAGCAAAAAAGAGCGGTGCGAACTCCTCCAATGTGTAATTCCCCAGTGGGACTAGGGGCAAAGCGAGTTCTAATTAAATTAGGTTTTTTTTCCACGAGCAGCGACCAAAGACTTTTCTATTTTTTTTAGTTCTCGGCGGATCAGCCAAATATCAAGAGCGGCAAAAAATAACGGAATTAAATAACTTATAATCATTAATCATTCTCACCTACCTTTCTGAAATAATTTATATTGTTTATTTTCTTCGTGGTAAATCTTAATGAATGCCTTTAACAATGCACTAGCGATAGTTAATATTCCAAACTTCTTTAAGGTTTCTTTACAGTGTTCATTAGACTCAGTAGCCTTGGTAATTATGTAATCTTTTTTTTTATCTGGTATTCCTTCTGCTTTATTAATCGCATAGCACATTTGATTAAAAGGGGATTTCAGCAGAGCAGTGACTCAACCGTCTAGACAAAACAAAAGCCCTTGAATTGTAGCCATAATTAGGACAAATCACATTACATCTCCGTTTAATCCAAGGCTATCTGTAAATTGCTTGCCCTTTCTTACTATTATAAAATCTCAAAATAAGTAAGCAATAATATAAATAATGGCTAATTTAAATAAAGTCTTTCAATATTCTTTAAATTTAGTTTTAATTCGGGCAAAAACTTTTTCATCAATTTTATTTTTAATTTTTTTATTATTATTTTCTTTTTCTTTCTTTACGCTCATATAACAGAACAATTTATTTTATACATTTTTGTTCTCTAAACGGTTAACTTTCAGCGACCTTTGGTCCGCCGAGCCACAATCACGGAATAATTCTTTTTCATTCTTTTGCGAAAGCCACATTTCCTTACTCTTTTAATTTTACTAGGTTGATAGGTTCGTTTCATATTCTAATAATAAATTTTAATATATATAAGTTTGATGTTGTGAAGACCTTACCGCCTCCGAAAAAATTGACAATTCCAAGAAATAATCACCGGTGGACAGAAAATAGTTAATCCTAGTTTTGTTCTTTTTACAGTAAAAAATAATCTAGATAATTGCCATTTTGGGATTAGCACTCCCAAAAAATTTATCAAAAAGGCCGTGGACCGCAATCGTTTCAAAAGACAAATTAGAGATATGTTAATATCACATCTAAAAAAGCATCAAGATAGTTGCCAAACGAGCGATAATCATTCACATTATAATTTTGTGATTATTGTTCGCTATCCTTACCTGGAAAATGACTTCCAAACTAACCAAAAAAATCTCTATAAATTGTTGGTTTCTGCTTCCCAAGAATATTCTAATCTACAGCCAAGGGGTGTTTCCTCATTGAAAAAAAATTAATATTATATGACCCCGCACGGAAAATCAAGTTTTACTAGCAAAAAATATAAAGTAGCCAATTTCCTAAGAAATGGTTTGCGGATACTTTTTTTAATTATTTTCCTGCATTGAATTTTTTGACTTACTTCCTATGCGAATTGTGTTAACTACCAGGAGGCGATAAGTGAAAAAAATAATAAAGAAGAAGAAAAACTAACCAAGCATGATGCTAAAACTGACCAATATCAGCACTTTACGGGATGGTTTAATGAGAAAAAAGAAAAAAATATTACCGAAATTGAGGAAGATATTTTAAGCCAAATTGA